TATGGAAGACAAATATATTCATTTTTTGGTTTCTTTCTAAGATAATTGATTTTTTAAAGAAAAAATAATAATACTGTATTGTGGGGTTTATAACATAGAAGTAAAATATATGACAGGAGCACAATGGACGAGACTGGGAACAGAAGTACACTGTTGTAAGGTGCTTATATTTTACTTGAAGTATCTAATACTTAAAGGTAAAGATGATAAATTAAAGATTCATTGTAAACCCTAGAGTCTAGGGATAGGATAAAAATTAAAAACATTTTTAAAGAGGCATAGCTAATAAGCCTAAAGAGGAGATAAAATAAAACACTAAAACATTCAATTAATCCAAACATAAGGGATAATAGAAAAGAAATAGCAAGATGGTGTACATGAGTCCAATAATATTGATGATTGCATATAAGTGTAAATGGGCTAACACAACAATTAAAAGACAGGGATTATCAAACTGGATAAAAGACCATACCCCCATTACATGTTGTCAACCAGAAGTACTCTTTAAAAATCCAGTTAGATTAGAAGTTAAAAAAAAAAAGTAAAAAAAATATATATATATATATACACCACGCAAATACTAAGTCAAAGAAAGCTGGAGGTACTATATTGATATCAGGGTAGACTTCAGGAGAAATAAATTTACTTTATAAAGGAGTCAAGTCATCAGGCTAACAACCAGAGCTTCAAAGTACATGGAGCAAAAACTGACATAACTAAAGGAGAAGCAGACAATCCACAGTGGGAGGTGGAAATTTCATCATGATCTCTCAATAGCTGACAGAACAAATAGGCAGTAAATTAGTGAGGAATACATGAGCATTACCAAGTTCCAACCTGTCCTAATGGATATTCATAGGATGTTACACCAACTCCAAGATACATATTTTCAAGTGTCCATGAAACATTCATCAAAATAGACAATATCTGGGCCATAAGATAACTTTCAATAAGTTTAAAGAGACTGAGATAATACCGATATACTCTCTGATGTTAACAAAATTAAATTAGAAATCAAACAAAAGATATTTGGAAAATTCCAAAATTATTTAAAAATTAAACAACACATTTCTAAATAACTCACTGGTCAAAGAAATCTCAAGGGAATCAGACAATATTTTAAATAAATGGTAATGAAAATGTAACATACAAAAAGTTCTGAGATATATCTAAAGGCCGTCCTTAGAGGGAAATTTATTGCTTCAGTGTTTAAAAATCAGTGAACTTAGGTTCCTCTTTTAAAATCTAGAGAAAGGTGAGACAATTAAACCCAAAAGAGTAAAAGAAAGGAAATAATAAAAATCAGAAATCAATGATAAAGAAAATGAACAGAGAAAAGCAATAAAATTTTAAGTTCTTTAAAAAAACAACAAAATTGATAAACCTTTACCTACATTGATCATGAAAAAAGCACAAAATACCAATACCAGCAATGAAGTGGGAAGATCATTACTTATCTCATAGACACTAAAAATTAACAAGGGAATACTATTTTTAAAAATTATGTCAGTAGAATTTGACAATTTAAATGAAACGGACTAATTCCTTGAAAGGCATATATTGTCTTATATGTATTTAAAATTTAATTCATAATTTAAAATGTGCCCGGAAAGAAAGCTCCATGCCCAAATATCTTCAAGACTAAATTCTATTTAACATTGAAGAAAGAAATAATACCAATCTTATAATAAAATCTTCAAAAAAGTAGAAGAAACATTTGCTGTCTCATTTAATAAGGCCTGCCTTATAACAAAACCAAAAATATCACATACCAGTATCTCTCATGAGCAAAGACACAGAAATTCCCAACAAAATATCAGCAAATAGTTTAGCTGTATATAAAATATAAAATGGACAATACATCATAACCAAGTAGCATTTATATCAGGAATGCAAGTTTAACATTTTAAAAAAATCAGTTAATGTGATTTATTATATTACCAGAATAAAGAGAAAAATCATCATATTAACAGATGCAGGAAAGGCATTTAATAAGATTAAGCACCCATTCATGATGAATAACTTTCTGCAAACTATAGAGAGTACCTTCCACAACCTGATAAAGGGCGTCTATGAACAACCTATAATTAACATCATATGTAACAGTGAAAAGGCTGAATGCTTTTCCCTTAAGACTAGCATGTAATCATTTCTATTCAATACTGTATTGGAGTTCCTAGCCCAGTGCAGTTTAACAAAAAGAGGAAATAAAAGGCACGTAGCTTAGAAACAAATAAATAAAATACATTTATTCACAAATGAGCTAATTGTATACATAAAAAGTCATAACAAATCTACCAAAAAGAACGTCTAGAACTAATAAGAGACTCGAGTAAGGTCATATGACAGAAGCTCAAAATTAAAAAGACAACTGGATGGCTATAGGCTAGCAACAAATAATGGGAAAATGAAATTCAAAAAATATCATTTACAATAGCATAAAAAGTGAAACTACTTGAGGACAAAGTTAACAAAGTATGTACAAGACCTGTACGCTGAAAACTATAAAACATTGTTGAGATAGATTAAGGAGGATATAAATAAATGAAAATAAATTGTCATGGATTAGATGATTCAACATTGTTAAAATGTTCACTGTCTCCACACTGATCTGTAGATTCAATGCAATACCAAAGTCCCAGCAGGCTATGTAGAAATGGACAAACTGATTACAAAATTGACATGGAAATGCAAAGGACCTATAATAACCAAAACAATTCTGAAGACAATCAAAATGAGAAGACTTGCACTACTTGATTTTAAGACTGACTATAAAGCCATAGTAATCAAGACAATGGGGGATAGTAACCTAAGAATAAACGTACAGATAAATGGAACAAAACAGAGTCCAGAAACAGCTCAAAACATATATGGGCAACTCATTTTCAACAAAGATGCCAAGGTAACTCTATGGGGAAAATGACATTCGTTTCAACAAAGGATGATGAAACAACTGAATATTCATACGGGAAAAAGTAAACTTCAGTTCTAATCTCATGCCATACCCCAAAACTAACTTGAAATGGATCACAGGCATAAATGTAAAGCTAAAACTACAAAGTTTCTAGAAAAAACAAAGTATACAATCTCCACAACCTTTAGTTAGGCAAGGATGTCTTAAAACCACTCAAAAAGCACAAACTATGAAAGAAATAATTGATAAATTCAACTTTATCAACATTAAAAACTTTTTTGCTCTTCCAAAGACAGAGTTAAAAAGTGAAAAATTTAAGGTTAAGACTGAAAACAAGTGTGAGAAAATATTCACCATCCACAGACACATAACAATACACATACAAAGGAGTCATATCCAGAATATATAAAGAACCTACAACTTAAAAATAGAATGCTAATGACTGAGACATTATGCGCTACACCAGAAATTTTTGACACATTGTAATTGACTATACGTCGATAATAAATTACAACAAATTAATAAAAATAAAATGCTAATGGAAGTCAGCATAAGTTTCGAATATACACCTAACAAAAGAAGATATTCAAATGGCCCAAAAGCACATAAAAAGATGCTCAAAATCTAGCCATTAGGGAGGTATAAATTAAAACCATAAAGAGATACAACTACACATCTACTTGAATGTCTAAAATTCAAAAGACGAACAATACCAAGTACTGGCAATGACATGGAACAAAGGGTACTTTCATACACTGCTGGAGGGAGTGCCATGTGGTCCAGTTTGGCAATTTCTCATAAAGTTAAACAGACGTATACTGTATGATCGAGAAATTCCACTCCTAGCTTTTACCCAAGGGAAATGAAAACATACATCCACCACAAACTGACTTGTCTATGAATAGTCATGGCAGCTTTATTTATAATATCCCTAAACTGGAAATAACCGAGATGCCCATCCACTGGTAAATAGGTAAACAAACTGTGGTAGATTCATAATGCAACACGATTCAGCAATAAAAATACACACAACAAACGTGGATGAATCTTAAAAACACAATTCCAAAAGGAAAAAAAAAGACTCCAAAGAGTACATACTGTATTAACTCTATATGAATTTCTTGAGCAGGCAAAACTAACCGATAATGAGACTGCAGCTGAGTGGTTGCCTGGGCTGGGGGTGGAGGGGACTGACTGCAAAGGGGCACAGAGGGACTTTTGGGGGTGATGGCGATGCTCTTCTCACTTCTCTGATTTTGAAGACACAGTCTGTATCTCATTTAAATTCAGCCTTGCAGACTACTTAAATACAGAGTCGCAGAAATGGGGCGGAAAGGTATTCCACTTAGGGACAATAGTGTGAGCAGTGCCACAGAGGTGGGAAATTGAGGGGTGAGTATAGGAACCAGCTGATAGTTTATTTTCCTAATTAACTGCATTGAAGCATAATTTGCATGCCACAAAGTGCACCCATTTTAAGTTGATAGCTCAAAGAATTCTAAGAAATGTATTCAGACCCATGTGACCACCATCCCATAGAGAGCTTTTTTTTGAAAAAAATGACCACTTCAAGCTGTTTTTGCTCAGTGTTTCAACAGGGAATTGATTCTGGAACAAATGGAAAGCAGGACACTTAAAAGTGTCCTCCTACAGTTTGTCAGACCTACTCACAGGTCTCGACACGGAGCCCCACCGCCCACATTTCATAGCAGCGGATGTTGGGGAGATCACACCTCTGGGAGTCACCCTGACAGCCCCAGTCCACTGTGGGCTCGACCACCTGCTCCAGCTCTGTCTCCCTGGCTCTCCAGACACCCTGAGGCTATGATCTAGCTGCTGTTATCAGCCTCGGGCTTGTCTCCTTGGGTCAGGACCCACTTCTTCCGTTTACCTGTCTGTCATCCTACTGGTTAACTCTGCAGGCTGCCTTGATCACTGCAACACCTGCTGTGTACTGTTCAGACACCCCCTTAGCCAATCCCAGCTTTTGGGGGACCCCCCTGCCCCAGCCCCCAGCACACAGGACCCAGGACACAGTGGCAACCACGATGGAATTCAAGGGTCATGGGGATGGAGAGACATCTACCTGAGCAGCAAAGAGCTGGAACTCGTCAGGCAGAATCCAGGAGCGAGGGTAGAAGTTGTACTCCTCAGGAAAAAGATTCTGCATGATCCTCACCGCTCTGCTCAGAGTAATTTTACGCACCATCTCCGTCATGCCTGGGGAGAAGAGAAGCTGTGAGGTTTGAACAACAGTGGGCCACTAGCTATAAAACAGCCGTTATTTGGGACTTTTAAAACCACTCGCCCGACACTTTCACTTTTTCAGACAGGATTTTAAAAAAAATGGTATGAGCTGTTCCCCACAGCGGTGATTCGTGGTTTGGAAAGACCTACCAAATTAATGACAAACTTGAGGTTATAGACTGATATCTTTTTCTCCTTATAAAAATGAAGTATCAATTTGAAAGAATGAGTTTCCACCTAGTTTATTATTCCTTTCTGTGTCAGACCCCTAGATAATGAATAAAGAGAAAGATTTATATTTCGCACTTAAAAATTAATATCCTCTTTAACTTGGGGGCCACCACACATACTTCTAAGATTCCTCCCATCTTATACCCGAGAGAATATTACCATGTGGACTCTGGTTCCATTATGAGAAGCTTAATTAACTTGCTTTGTTTTCCTCTTTCATGAGTATTAAAGGTATAAAATGGAAAAATACACATCTTTCAGCAGAAAATCTGTCTCCTTGAAATAAAGACAGGAAGTAAAGAGGCTATCACAGCATAATTTATAGTTTAAGGGGAAAAAATGGAATCCATAGGAGTTCTTCAGTTATAAGAACTGAAACGGACACCGATCAGATCTCATTAACTTGCCCAGAGGGGACTGAAATGCGTCACTTACAAAACATTTTAAAAGAATGGTGGGGTTTTTTTCTTGTAATATCTTTAGAAACTCTGGCAAGAAAAAGAAACTGAGTAGACATCTTAGCAAATTTTAGGCAGATCGGTAAAAATTATTTTCAGCTTTAGCATGCTTATTTCTTAAGGTAAATATCACTGCTCCAAAGAAAGAAGACAAAAAATGGCCCTCACCCTGAAAGAGGCTACACGGTCCCATTAACGAAACCAGAAATCTGCTTAGCAAAGTAGATTTTAATAGAAAGTACACGGTTTCATGTCAGTTTGACATGTCCAAATTATCACATTCCAACGGGCACAGTCAGAACACATGAGGTTGCTATAAACCCCCATGTTCAGGAAGCAAAGAGTGAACGTTTGAGAATGAGGTTTTAATAATCTATTTCTTGCTTCCCTCAGCATATTAAAAAGAGCAATAAAGATCTAAAGATCGCAGCTTCAAGATGTCAGGGCCCACGTTCTTAGTTCTCGTTTAGAAGGAGACAGAGAAGGATCAAGTAAGAAATAAAGGCGCTTAAAAGGCACTAATAAACTGTGCTCTAACGCGGACTCTCCGATATTAAAGAAAGCTCACTGAGGACTCTTTTCCGAGCTTCCCAAGAAATCAGTAGGAGTCCGAAAATGATAGCTCTTTCCTTTTATTTCCCGACGAAATTAGAATTTTTGAGTTATAAATCCTGGAGCCGAGCACAAAGTACACAAAACAAAATTTCAGCTTCTTTGGAGACTTCTTAGTTGCATTTAACATTTTAGTGATAGCAGTAAGCTCAAAACCTTCATAACCAACTGGAAGACAGCATCTTACAGCTTCCCTTCTCTAAGGAGCTATAGCACCTGACCCCTACCTGTGACCCCACCCTAGGCTCTGAGACCTATTCTGACACGACTTGGAAGCCCTCGGTCCAACCATCAGCTCACTCCCCTGCTATAACTTTGACCCCTTCTTTGTACTAAGGAGGATTTTACCTATTTCTCTGAGGCTCCGTTGTTTGTTACAAAATTATGGCCACCTGCCTTTGGCTCCTGGTGCCTGAGTGGCTGCCTTGGCAATGCCTTTGCCTTGTTCTCGCCAGTGTTCCTCCTCTGTGCCCCGCAGGCCTCCCTGCAAGGGCTGGAGTCCTCCCACCTGTGACTTTAGCCCAGTCTCTGGACTCGTGCTGAATTAACAAGTTCTTCTGCGGCTGACTGCCTACCTGGGCTTCTCAAGGTCTAGCCCTAGATGTCCCTACTATGGAAGTTCCCCTGTGGGCTGGGGAAAACTCAGGCTGGAGCTTCTCCCCCAGGAGCTGGCCTCTTACCCCCACTCCTGGGCCTGGGTTCTTCTGTCTGCTGCACTGGAGTCTCCAGGCCTGGGGCAGGCGGTCTCACCCCATTGGAGGAACACAGGAGTGTAATGGAGTTTGAGCCTCAGGCTTGCCCACACAGACCTACTTAACCCAACTAAACAAAACACAGCAAAACAAAAAGCAAAATCTGGGCTATGTTGGGAGCGCTATTCAATCCAAGTATCATGTGTAACAACGATTCTTGGCAAAAACACATTATAACCACCAAACAACAAATAAGTACTTTCAGATGCATCCTCTTCTCTGCTTCATCTTTTGCCTGGATACTGCAGTAGCCTCTTAGCTGTTTCCTCTCCCAGCCTTTCTCTTCCCCTCCAACGCATCCCCTTGGGCAGATCTTTTGAAAACTCGAGCTGTCCAGTGTCGCTCTCTGGCTTAGAAATTTTTCAGTGGCTCCTTGTGACCTTCCGCCCCTGCCTATCACCCACGGCTCCACTGCGCCATCACACTCGGCCCTTTCTAACTATCGTGGGCCACTTGCCCTTTGCTGCATGAGCAACATGCGAAGCCTTCTTTGCACCAGCTCTGCCACCCTGTTTCACAGGGGGGTCGGGCCCATTCATTCATGGAGGCTCAGCTCACATTCCATCCTCTGCTCCAGGATCTCTCACCCCGCCTGCTCCCCAAGCAAATCTGGGTTGGGTCACATGCCCTTGCTCCAAACTCTCACAGCATCCCAAGCCTCCTCTAGCATAGCACTGAATTTGTATTTGACATGCTTCCTGCCTGGAGCCCTCTCCTCCTTTGACAAAGTCCCCTCTTCAGGGTGGGATCTCAGATACCACCCGCCACCTGCTACGTACATCTCAGCCCCAGAAACTCAGCAAAACACGATTGCTTGGAAGCTGAGAACGGACAGCTCTGGGCTTTCTTAAAGCAGTGACATATCTAAAGCAGATTATTTTTAGTGAAAATCTTAAGATATAATAACATATCTTGAAGGAAATTGCCCATAGAAAAGTGGCTAAAATCTAACATGCTGACAAGAACCAAATAAATTAGTTACATATGTTTTCCAAAAGCTTCCCGTTTATTCAGCATGTGAAGCGTTTACCCCTTGCCTGGCACGTCCAGTCGAACTTGCTCTAAGTGATATGCAATGTGTACTAGATGCATTTTCAGAATAAGGGGATATATGAGAGACAGAAGATAAGCTTGGACACGAACTGGAGCCAAAGTACAGACCATTCTGTACTCACCCCTTTGCTAAGGGCTGTTGTCTCTCACAGGGCAGACGGTGTTTCCACTGCCTGGAGAGCCTGCTTTGTCATTAGAGCTAATTAACTGCTGTTAGTAAAGTGGAAAATTGTATGTTCCAGTCACTGGCACGTGGAATATGAGATGGGGCATCCTTGCTTCTTTAGAATGACTATTTCTACATCACCTTTCCTGAAACTAGTCCTTTGAGGGTCGTTTTCTTTCCCATATTTCTATTTGTGTCCCGAGTGGAGAGCTACTGCCTCCAATTCCTCCTCTCAGCCATCAGACGAGGCAGGAGCCAATGGCAAAAATGGAAAGGAAGCCTCATATGATGATTCATGTCTTGGGAATTCTGTCCTCATTCAAAGAATTGTTCTCGTCCAAATTATCTTCTCCCAATATCCCAATAAGTCCTTTCAGTGGCATCAAAAAGTCACCTTTTAGGAGTAGCAAGACAGAGAAAATTGTAAACTGTACATTAAACTGTACAAGAACCCTGGCTGCAAGAGTCCTGCTTGTTCTTCAGCAAAACCCGTTCTCCTCCAAGAACAAAACTGACCTTGGGCTCATTTTCTAGCTCTGATCCCAGGAAATCAATAAAGGTGGAGTTAGTTGTGCTACTAGACAACAAAGCATATGGTTAAAATGATCCCTCATTGGCATATTGCATAAGTGCCTGGTAGGAAGCCACAGCTCCAGGCTCTCCTGAGTGGAGTGAATCTTGTAACTCAGCATGACCCCAAGGGGGACCCTGGAAGCTACGTGACGGAGTAGCTATGTGAGCTATTGGCCCCTACAGCGTTTCCAAGCCCAGGCAGACCCACATTTACCGACGTGGATCTTGTCTCCTTGAACCTGAACTTTCACTTGAGGAGCCAGAGACCAGCTCTGGAACCCCTGCAATGGCACCACTGGAAAGAAACGCCTGACACTGAGTGGCTGGCCAGCTGTGTTTCCTGCCCCAGCTCCTTCTCAGTGAATCTGAGCCAAGTGGCTTATGCCAGTCTGTTATTTAGTTGAAAAACCCCCTAGTGGACATGGTACAACTTGCCAGTGTATAATGTTGGGTTTTCTTAAAGATGAGGCATGGAATGCCAAAAAAAAAAAAAGGAGAGTAAGTTGATTCTCCTTTTAAAAATAAGCATAAGTGGAACACTAGAGAAAACATTTGATAGTCAGGAGACTACACTCCAGTTGCCAATCTGTAAAAGTGATACATAAACATGGTTAAGGCCTCGGAGGAAATACAGAAATAGTCACCTTGTGGTTTTGTTAAATGAGGGATGAGATTTGGGGTGATTTTTTAAAAATGATTTATTATTATATTCTATGTGGTTTGTGCCTGTTATGTTAAAATTTCTGAAAATAAGAGGGACCCCTCTGGCCACAATCATACCCAGAATGACCAAATGTTCCTTTCTCCCTAAGCACCACCCTCTCACCTTAACCACCCTCTTCACTTAGCCATTAAAAGTAATGAATGGTGGGAGGAGGGCATAGCTCAGTGGCAGAGCGCCTGCATCGCATGTACCAGGTCCTGGGTTCAATCCCCAGTACTCTCTTTTTAAAAAGTAAATAAATAAACCTAATTACCTCCCCCCACAAAAAAGCCTAAAATAAATAAGTTGGACCAAAAAAGAAGAACTGCAGTCATTCATGGAAAAAAAAAATCATGAATAGCAATCATAGCAGAAGAGCATAGTAGACATCAAACATAAAATCAAAAGGCACATGGGGAGGCTGGGAATAGAGTGAGGGGGTTTTTTAAGTGCTGGCTATCGCACTTATCTGGCACCGAGTCCTCCTTGCAGTCTCTCCAGATAACAGTCTCACTAGATAATATCTTCAGGTTAAAGGCGGAGGCTGGCTGCTTCTGTTCTCGGTATAGAGATGCTGTATTTGGATTTAAACATGGTACCTCCGAATACGCTATTCAGGTCGAAGCTGCTGACCCCATTTCTGTGATCAAGTCCCAGAATTTTAGTACTTCTCTTTCCTGCAAATTAGTTGAGTGAAGTAGCCTAATTTTTTCATTTTGAGAATACAGTCCCCCACCAGGACACCCCCATATAATATGTAAAACCCAAAAGATGCAAATCAGGTTCTTCCATCAGCGGAATTAGACCAGAAGAACCTGTCTTTTGATGTTTTTGAGCTGCCATCTTTAAACCCTGGGTGGGTTAAGCCTTGATCACCTTTGATCTCAAGGTCAGGGCACTGAGGCAGAGTGCAGACAGCAATTCCCAATTCAGGGTCCTCCAGTTTGATCTCAGAACACTGTCATGTTTTTGTCCAAGAAGACTCAGCCCTCAAAACATTTTTAAATGCCAACAGTAACAGCAGATACCTGGAAACTTGTTCACTTGACCGGAGAATATGTCACTGTCGTGAAATGACACTCCGTGCCAGTAGATATCACAAGGCAAGCGTCGACCAAATGGGAACTAGGAGAGAGAGAGAAAATGTGATTAATGACAAGAGCAAGAGGAGCAGCTATGATACTGAGTGTCTATTACGTACCAATCCCCAGCGCCTGGGCACACATCGCATGATTTAACCCTCACAGTAAGCATGTGAAGTAGCTAAGTCTTTCCCATTTTAAGGGTGAAGAAACAGATTCAGACAGGCTAAGTGACTTTTCCTGGGCCACACCCACTGAGCGGCAGAGTTCTGATTCTGCATGGCAGGCATTATCCTAGTGGCTTTACAGGCACGCTTGCATTTGAATCTTTATAACTATCCTAGGAAAGGATTATTCCCATTTTAATGAGGGACATGATGAAGAAATTGGGGCTGAGAGAGGTAATCTAACATGCCCAAGGTCACATAAAGCCAGTAATGGGAGGAATCAAAGTCTGAATCCAAGTCTATCTGAATTCCAAACTATATTTCACTTTCTCTGAAAATTGCAACATTCAAACCAGTGCCCCAAAACGAGCTTTTACAATCTCTTTCTCTCTCTCTCTCTCTCTCTCTCTCACACACACACACACACACACACACACTCACACAAAGTCCACAAGGGCAGGATGTATCCCCAGTGCCTAAAACAGTTCCTGGCATTCAACAAAGACTTCTTGAATGAATAAATGAACAAACCAGGAGTGGTCCTCTGACTCACAATGAGATAACCAGATTCTCTCTTCCAGGAACTTGGAAATCAGAGATGCCGGGCAGCCTCTGCCGGCCCTTGAACTGGACATGATAAAAAGCCAGAGCCGGGCAGCTGTGCTGGACCGTGTGCACAGAGAAGCAAAGGCAGCCAGTCTACTGAGAGAGGAGAAAGGAGCAGGTGCAGAGAGAAAAGGAGACATGAGGCCATGTGGCCCTGGCAACACAGACTGAGTGACCTCAGTTCCTAGGGCTTCTAGGGCCTAAGCCCAGACCCTTCTGAGCCCGGCTGTCCCTTGGATCCTGTAAGGCAGCCGCACATCCTTAGAATGCATCCCTTTTGCACAAGCTGTAGCAGTTCAGTTATTCACAACCAGCAAAATCCCACGCTAAGACAAAATAGCCTACTCTTCCTACTAACATCTTGCTGCTACTTACAGTTAGCAACAACTTCTGCATTTATACAAAGTATTTTTTAAATGTGTAACTCAGATGACCCTTGTGAAAAGAAAAGAGTGAGGCCATGTTAGTTCATATTTAGAACCTGCTTGTTAAAAGTCCAAATGAAGAGAAACACCAACACATTAAATAAAATCATCCAATTTTCCCACCCTAAGGCTTGAGTTAACCAGGATTTTTATCTACTGCAAGCTGAGAGGGCTAAGTTCCAATGGAAGAACACAGCATCACTAATGAAATGGTGGTGACTCAATGCTTTCCAACGACTCCAAATTAAAATGAAGGCAAACAGACTCAAGTCCTTTAAATCATTCACATTATTTCAAAACTGTGCCAAAGTGAGGCATATGTTACACACTCTATTAGCATTAACAACTTCCATCTATAATTTATAGCACTTCACTCATTTTCTTTGCATCCTAAGGACTGAAGTTATTAATTCTGTAGTCATAAACACAAAGAGATACAACATATGTCATTTTCTTCCAGCTGTTAAGTACTAATATAGAGAAAGGAAGAACGCCTTAACCAGCGAGGTTTCTCTAAAAAGCAGACTGTCCAAACATAGTTTACTGAGATCCAAGTGGCTTTGCTGCCCACACTGGGGGACCAACACCTGCTCTGTGCCCGTGGACAACTGAGGACTCCTTATCACCCTTAAAACGGTCCTTCCATCTTTGCCACATTCATGATTCCTAAATTAACCTTTCATTCGGAGCCCTTAGCTCATTCAGTTTTGAGAAACTGCCTTTTTAAAAAAATCAATTTATTCGATAATTACTATTGCCAGACCCTCTGTTAGGTGCTGAGAACACAGAGAAACACAATTTTAAATAGGCCCCAGGACCTCATAATCCCACATCTTTTTGAGATCTTTTAAAAAACTGCTTCAACAACTAACACCATGCTCAATGGGGAAAGACTGAAAGGTTTGCCTCTAATATTAAGAATGAGACAAGGATACTTACTTTCCCCACTTCTATTCAACAAAGTGCTGAAAGTTCTAGCCAGAGTAACGGGCAAGAAAAAGAAGTAAGAGGCATCCAGGTTGAAAAGGAAGAGGTAAAATTATCTGTTTGCAGATGACATGATCTTCTACGTACAAAATCTTAAAGATTATACACACACACACACACACACAAACTGTTAGAAATAATAAGTGAACTCAGCAAAGTTGCTGGGTACAAAGCCAATAAACAAAAATCAGTTGGTTTTCTGTATATTAACCATAACAATCCAAAAAGGAAACTAAGAAAACAATTCAATTTACAATAGCATCAAAAAGAATAAAATACTTAGGAATTGACTTAAGCAAGGGGCTAACCTGTACATTGGCTTGTACACTGAAAATTACAAAATTTTGCTGAAAGAAATGAAAGACACACAGAAGTGGAAAGATATCCCATGTTCAAGGATTGGAAGACTTCATATTACTAAGATATCAACACTACTCAAAGTGATCTACAGAATCAATGCCATCCCTACCAAAATTCCAGTGGCTTTTTTTTTTACAGAAATAGAATCTATCCTAAATTTCATATGGAATATCAAGGGATTCCAAATAGCCAAAAGGATCTTGGAGGTGTCACACTTCCTAATGCCAAAACTTATAACAAAGCTAATCAAAGTAAAGTAATCAAAAGTGGTGCATAAAATCACAATGAGATACCACTACACACATCTGTTAGAATGGCCAAAATCCAAAACTGACAACACCAAATGCTGGTGAGGATGTAGAGCAACAGGAATTCATCCACTGCTGGTGGGAAGGCAAAACGGTGCAGCCACTTTGGAAGGCAGTTTGGCAGCTTCTTACAAAACTAAACATACTCTTATCATATGATCCAGCAATTGTGCTCCTTGGTATTTACCCAGATTAAAAACTTATGTCTACAAAAAACCCTCCATACAAATGTTTATAGTAGCTTTATTCATAATTGCTAAGACTCGAAGGCAACCAAGATGTCCTTCAGTAAGTGGATGAATAAATAAATCGTGGTACAACCAGTAATGGAATTTTACTTAGTGCTAAAAAGAAATGAGCTATCAAGCCGTGAAAAGACATGGAAACACATATTACTTAGTGAAAGAAGCCCATCTGAAAAGGCTACATACTGCATGATTCCAATTAAATGACATTCTAGAAAAGGCAAAACTATGGAGACAATGAAAAGATCAGTGGTTGCCAAGGGTTAGGAGATGAACAGGTAAAGCACAGAAGATTTTCAGGGCAGTGAAGCTACTCTGTATGATACCATGATGATGAATACATGTCATTATACATTTGTCTAAACCCACAGAGTGTGCACCACCGAAAGTGAAAACTAATATAAACTATGGATTTTGGGTGATAAAGATCTGTCAATCTAGGGTCACTGATGTTAATAAATGTACCATTCTGGGGTGGGATTTTGATAGTCAGGGAGGCTGTGCATATGTGAAGGCAGTGATTATATGGGAAATCTCTGTTCCTTCTGCTCAATTTTACAGTGAACCTAAAACAGCTCTAAATCAAAAATAATAAAAGTAAATTAAAAAAAAAACCCAGTATGGTACTGGCATAAAGACTGACATACAGACCAATGGAATAAGACAGGGAACCCAAAAATAAATCCTCCCATATATGGTCAAATGATTTTCAACAAGGATGACAAGACTATTCAATGGAGAAAAGAAATCAGTCTTTTCAACAACTGATTTTGAGAAAACTGGATACTCATATACAAAAAAGATGAATTTTGACCCTTACCTTACACCATATACAAAAATTAACTCAAAGTGGGTCAAAGGCCCAATCACAAGAACTAAAACTATGAACCTCTTAGAAGAAAATATAGGGGATAAGTTTCATGACATTGGACCTGACAATGATTACTTGGACATGACACCAAAAGCATAGGCAACAAAAGAAAAAAGTAAATAAGTTAAATTTCATCAAAATTATAACTTTTGCATCAAAGGACACTGTCAACAGAATGAAAGGGCAATCCACGGAATGGGGGGAAATATTTGAAAATCATATATCTGATAAGGGATTAGTATTCAGAATATATATTTTTAAAACTCCTACAACTCAACAAAAACATTTTCAATTGAAAAATGGGCAAAGAACTTGAATAGACAATTCTCCAAAGAAGATATACAGATGGCTAATAAGCACATGAAAAGATGCTCAACATCACTAATTATTAGGAAAATGCAAATCAAAACCACTTCACACCCATTAGGATTACTATTATAAAAAATAATAATAAAAAGGAAATAACAAATGTTGATGAGGATGTCGAGAAATTGGACCCCTGTGCATTGGGAATGTAAAAAAAACCACTGTGAAAAACAAAATTATCACATGATACAGCAATTCTCTTTCTGGGTATACACACAAAAGAACTGAAATCAGGGACTCGAACAGATGTTGGTACCCAAACGTTCATAGCAGCATTATTCACAACAGCCAAAAGGTAGAAGCAGCACAAGTGTTCACTGACTGGCCATCAACAGATGAACAAAATGTGGTATACACACACACTGTAATATTACTCAGCCTTAAGAAGGAATGAAATTTTGACACCTCCTGCAACATGGATGAACCCTGAAGACACTATGCTAAATGAAGTAAGTTAGACATAAAAAGGACAAACGTATGATTCTACTCATATGCGGTAGCTACAGTAGTCAGACTCACTGAGAGAGAAAGTGGGATGGTGGTTTCCAGGGGCTGGGGGGAGGGGAAATGGGGAGTCATTGTTTAACATGTATAGTCTCAGTTTGGGGAAGATGGAAAAAGTTCTAGAGATAGATGGTAGTGATGGTTGCACAACACTGTGAATGTATTTAACACCACCGAACTGTACACTTAAAGATGGTTAAGATG